GGTGTCGCGCAACGTCAACGCCCTCGTCTCCTTCCGCCGCCTGCCCGCGCCCGCCGGCCTCGGCTCCCTGGGCGCAGGGGTGGGTGCAGCCCAAGAGGGCGCTGGGTGCTGCTCCGTGGGCCCTGCACGGCCGTGTCTTGCACGGCGTTTGCACCACGGCAGTTTAACGCGGCTTTTTCTTGCACGGTGTTTTGTGTGGTGTGTTTTGCAGAGCACGCTTTTGCATGGCGCCTTGCATGGCTTTTCCTGCATGGCCTTTTTTTTTTGCATAGCATTATGTGTACAGCACTTTTTGCAGAGCATTTTTCTGCACGGTGGTGTTTGCATGGCAACTTTTGCACGGTATTTTGCCTGACATTTCTTGCACAGCGCTTTCTTGCAGAGCGTTTTGCACGGTGCGTTGTTACACAGCGCGTTTCCGCATGGCGTCTTGCATGGCATTTTTTTTGCACAGTGTTTCACAGCAGTATTTGCTTGGCATTTTTCACATGGCATTTTATCTGGCTCTTCTTGCACAGCCTTTTTTTGTGTGGCATTTTTCACGGTGCAATATTGCACAACAGGTTTTTGTATTGGCGTCTTGCATGGTAATTTTGCACAGCGTGTCTTTGCACAGCTGTACGTGCACCGTGTTTTGCGCAGCCTTTTCCTGCACAGCCTTTCCTTCCATGGCCTTTTGCAAGGGGCATGTTTGCACAGCGGTTTTTTTTTCCACAGCGATTCTGCATGGAGTTTTGCCTGGCGCTTTTTTTACACAGCATTTGTTGCAGGGTGTTCTGCGCAGCATTTTTTTGTATAACATTTTTTACATGGCATTCTTTTGCATGGTGTTTTTTTTACTTGATGCTTTGCTTGGTAATTTTTTGCATGGCATTTTTTGCAAGGTTTTTTTCAGGGTGTTTTTCTGCATAGTATTTTTTGCATGGCTTTTTCTGCACGACATTTTTGGTGTAGCATCTTTTGCAGTGTTTTGCATGTTCTTTTCTTGCACAGCCTTTCCTTGTATGGTGTTTTGCACAGGGCTTATTTGCATGGCATTTTTTTTTGCACAGCAATTCTGCATGGAGTTTTGCAGGACATTTGTTGCATGGTGCTTTTTGCTTGACGTTTTTTTGGAGTGGTGGTTTTGGATGGCGTTTTTTGCAGGGTGGTTTTTTGCATGGTGTTTTGCCTGGCTTTTATTTGCATAGCACTTTTTTGCACAGCATTTTTTTGGTCTAATTTTTACACGGCATTTTTTGGACGGTGTCTCCAGGACCGGCGGCTGGACGCAGAGGGCAGAGCCAGTGCCTGGCACCCCGGGAACCCCTACTGCTCCCCAATTTTGGTGCGCAAAAAAGCCATCCGCAGCAAAGTCCTGCGCTCAGGGGCCTACCGGGACTGCGGGGGCGAGAGCCAGCTCCACCAGCCACCACGTGATGCCGGTGAGTGCCTGGAGGGGAAACTGAGGCACAAAGGGGAGATGTAACCCTGATTTTGCAGGGTGTTTGGGGTGAAAAGGGGATTAACAGGCTCCGGCAGCGGTGGCAGGATGGGAGAGCAAAGGGGCGCGGAGCTGGGCCTTCCTGCCCGAAAATGAGAGTGTCCTCGCCGAGAGCGTCTGGGCCTTCGCTGGCATCACCAGGTAAGCATGGGAGCACCCGCTCCTTGCCATGTCCCCCAGCACCCATCACCACCTATGGCCCACCCATCACCAACCCATTGCTCACCCATTGCCAATCCACGGCCCATCCATGACCCACCCTCGCCCACTGCTGCCTCTCCCGCAGGGCCGGTGGGATCGCGCTGCTGCGCTGCGACATCCCTGGCGCCTTCCTGCTGCGTCCCGAGCCCGGCCCGGCCCTGCGCTGGTGCCTGTGGGTGCGGGCGCCCTGCGGTGTGGTGCCCTACGGCCTCCTGCGCACCCAGCAGGGACGCTTCTGCCTGGAGGTGAGGGGCTGCGGGCACAGGATAACGGGCACCTTTGCTGCAAGAATGCATGTGCTGCGTGGTTGCAGCAGTGCACGGGTGCACCTGGCTAAGAGCATTTGTTGCGGCTGTGCATGGGTGCACTGGTGTGTACGTGCACTTATTGGATCTGTGCATGGCTGCATTGGTGCACTAGTGCATGGATGCATTGGTGTGCACATGCCTTTGATGGAGGGGTGCACAGAGGCATTTGCTTCATGAGTGCATTGGTGCTTGGGTGCATTTGTGTGCGGGTGCACAGAGACCAGTGGGTATGGGTGCACAAGTGCATCCTTGCATGCGTACATGGTGTATGGGTGCATCACTGTGTGTTTGGTTCATGGGCACAGTGGTCATGGGTGCATGGGTGCACAGATGCCTTTGATTTGTGAGCGCACAGGGTGCAGCAGTGTGGGGATGCACAGTGCACGGGTACATCACTATGAGCGTGCCTGGGTGCATGAGTGTATTTGATCTACATGTGCACCTCTGCATGGGTGCGTTGGGTCTGTGGACACACAAGTACACGGGTGCTTTTGTGCCTGGGGGCATTTGGCGCATGGCTGCATTCAATTCAGGGATACCTGGGTGCACAGGTGCATTGGTGCACAGGTATTTTGTGCATGGGTGCATTTAGTTCAGAGGTGCATGGGTGCACAGGCACATGGGTGCACAGGTATTTGGTGCATGGATGTGTTCAATTCAGGGGTGCATGGCTGCATGGGTGCACAGGTATTTTGTGCATGAGTGCTTTCGGTTCAGGGATGCATGGGTGCACAGGTATTTGGTGCACAGGTGCATTCACGTTTTGGGGTTCATGGGTGCCTGGGTGCAGGGGTGCACAGGTGCAAGGGTGCATTTGAGTCAGAGGTTCATGGATGCCTGTGTTCATGGGTGCGCAGGTATTCTGTGCACGGGTGTGTTCAGTTTTGGGGTGCCTGTGTGCTGGGGCAGGGGCTCAGCTCACCTCTCCCCTCTCCCTCAGCTCTCCAGTGCCGAGTTCCCCAGCG